TGCCTGTGCCTCAGTTAGGTCCAGGACTCTCAGAACTAAACACTTCATTCTTTATCAGGGATGATCAATAAGCATGTGCTAAGTGTCTAGTTTAGGAGATAATACAAACCAAACCAGTTGCCATTGAGTTGATACTGATTCATGGCAACCCCACATGTGTTAGGATAGAACTGCCCTCTATGAGGTTTTCAGTGGCTGATTTTTCAGAATTAGATAGCCAGACCTTTCTTCCGAGGTGCCTCTGGGTAGACTCAAATTTATAACCTTCCAGTTAGCAGCCAAGCATGTTAACCATTTGCACACACAGGGGCTCTTAGGAGGTAATATGATTGCATATTAAGACTGTGATCTACCAGAACCTACCATTAAGTATAAACTATAAACTCTAAATTGCAAAATTTAATAATTTGTTAATTGATTTATTAGAATGTATAACTATTTAGGCTTCAGGAATTGCTCCTGATTTCAGCATCATGCCCCTATCAAAAGGTGCACATAGGACATGAACAGACAAAATAATACTTTAGACTCAGGTCATTTGCCTCTGTGCCTCGATTTTTCTTTTCTGTAAAACAAGGGTGATGGAGTGGCATATGTAGTTCTAGACAAGAGCAATCAGCACTATGGAAACACAGAGACGAAAAGAGATTATCAGGACATCATGGGGCTATGGCTTCAGGTACAGGCTATTTCTACTCACTCTCTGCCTCCTGAGGTTCAGTTCTCCATCTCTCCCTCCTTATTAAAAACAACAACAAAAGCAGCTGTCATTGAGTCAATTCTCACCATGGCCACTCCATGTATGCAGAGTAGAACCACTCCATAGAGTTTTTATGGCTGTGGCCTTTTGGAAGCAAATTGCCAAGCTTTTCTTCTGAAGCACCTCTGAGTGGTTTCGAACCAGCAACCTTTCAGTTAGTAGCTGGGACTCCTTACTTGCTGTGTGCTGTCAAGTCAAGTCTGACTCATGGTGACCCCATGTGACAGAGTAGAACTGCCCCATAGGGTTTTCTAGGCTGTCATCTTTACAGAAGCAGATCGCCAGGTCTTTTCCCCCACGGAGCTGCTGAGATGGCCGACCTTTCAGTTAGCAGCCAAGCACTTAATTATTGTGCCACTAGGGCTCCTCCTTCCTCATTAGCCCTCAGCTTTTCCTCCGTATCTCTAAAGCACATGTAGCAAAACACACCCTAGATACACACAGCTTTTCATCCAACACAAATGCAGTTCACAAGTCGGCTCCTCCTCGACCCCAGTCACTCCAGAGCAGAAGGAGAACTACAATAAGTAGGAAGAAAAAGGCTCAAAGGTCTTTTCCTCTGAGCCCTGCTCCCTTTCTCCCCTATTGTTGACTTATATCTTCTTGTTCTTTGAGTCACTGTGTTTCTCATTTGGCTCAGCTTTAGAGTTTAAAAAAAAAAAAAAAGGATTTTTAAAGAATACATCTTGAAGTATTTTCTGGCTCAGTGTGTGCTTGATTGTTTGGAATATGGCCAAAACCCTTGCTTTAGTCCATTATTG